AAAAAAAAAAAAAAAGAAAAGGACGTTGAATGTACAATTAAAATTAATACGATTATCAATAAAACGGCCTATTTTTAACATTAAGGTTTAAGGTTTATTTATTTCTTTCACCTTCATATACCCTCCATAACGAAAGGGTTAAATTAAAATACAATGCGTTATTTATAGATACGTGTGAGAGGGGAGAGGGGAGAGAGAAAATGATCGCGCGATATTAAAGCGAACAAGTCACGTTGAAGAATTGATTTCTCGTTTCATTTGCAAGTATTTATAAAAAAAATTAAATATCAACCATTCTTAATCTATTCGTATCTAGATACGTCTTAAACTTTAAACTTTTTCAAATTTTTCAAAATATATTATACGTCCTTTCATTCTCACGTAGTTATTCCCGTATATAGATATCGTTGCGCGTTCGTGCCGCGTTGTGGCGCTGCTGTACGCGAATAAAACTGTCTCGCTCTATCTCCCATCATCTAAAGCAAACTTCAATTACTTATACAAACTTGATAAACAAGCGGCTCAACTTAATTCTCGCAATACGCCAACTTTTACGTTTATTTCAGCCTCCGTTCCTCAAACTCTGCCCCACTTCGCTATTAATCTCCACTGTATTTATTATCCTAATCCCACGTATCGATGTTAACTTAATTTCTCAAACTTCGGGCAAAGCTTCGACCACCTCGTGAATATTTCATCGAATCCATTCCCCTTCGAAAGAAAGAGAGAGAAAAAAAAAAGGGAAAAACCTCTCGATTATCCATCGAACAACTCTTCACAACTCAACTTAACCTTACTTTTTTTCAACGACCAATTCTCAATCGAAGAAGAAACACGCAGATCGTGGGCAGGGAAGATCGACGATTAGATATAAAAGGAGCGTATCGATGCGTAACTGTTCGACAGTGCGTCGAGTGCGTGTCTTACGAGGAGTCGATCTCCCGTAACGAGTTGCCTTCGATCTTGAAACCTATCCCACCTATCGCGTTTCCTATAAAAGATGTCACAGAGGGGTCAGGATGCCAGTGCCACGTGCGAAAACGACATGTCCACGTCGAAAAGTAGCTCGTTGCTACGATTGAATCAGGAGAGTCGGCGTGCATCCGCCGATTGGCAGGATCAGGACACGGATTCCGAGATCAGCGAGACCGATTTCCTGACGAAAGGCGCCTTCCTGTTGACGCCCAGCCACGAGCTCAGCATCGAAAAAGCTGCCACCATTTGCGAGAAGATGAATTTTCGGTAAGATGAAGGAGGAAGATTTTCTTTTTTTTTTTTTTTTTTTCAGAATTCTTCATCATATTCTAGACAACAATAAGGATGTTTGTTTAAACAGTTTGTTTAAACTTTTCGTTGGATTTTTTTTCGTTTCATTAAAACGCAAAATTATACTTGGCTTATTTTTCAGAAGTTTTTAAATCAAGGATTTTTTGAGTTTAAGTAACTTTTTAAAGTAAACTCTTTTTGCGATAGAAATTTTTTGGGGCAAAGTTTTTCAGAAATTTTTTTAAGTCGAAGATTTTCGAGGTACATTTTTTTTAAACCTCACTGTCTTTTAATTTATTAAATTTTTAAATTATTCGTATTTTAAAGTTTTCCTAGTTTAATAATCTTACGGAATTTTTAATAAGAATTGCATCCATTGAGAAAGGATTTAATTTCATCGTATTAATTTAAATTATTTATTTTCAATATTTAATTTTGCACGTATAATTTTGCAGTATAAAAATTATTAAAATTTTTAACAAATTAATTGAACTACGTTGAACGAATTATACACTTAATAAATTATTTTTCCAATAAAATTTCGATTAATCTATCGGATAATATTGATGAACAACTAAATCACAATCGCAATGAATTTTCGTTTCCTTTTTTTATTCGAATTCGGTGTTCTCAAAATGACACATTGTTCCCCCTGTCTCTAATAATTCAGTATACACAAATCATAACAGATACAAAGCAGAAGAGAGGCCTCTCATTAATTCTAAACACGAGACAAGCAAGTGTGACGACGATTTAATTGAAATTCTCGTTCTCCCTTCAACGTTCCCAATTTTAATGGATGACCATGAACTAGTTAACTTATTAAATTTAACCGATCCATTAAATTGTGTTTTGAAATACAATTTGCTCATGAAAATCAAGCACGATCACGCGAATGTTAAATGAACATATCACACATCACATCGATGCATCGTAATAAATATTCTGACTTAAGCAAACTTAAAGTTAAAACTTAACTCAAAAAAAAAAAAAAAAAAAAGAAAAAAAAAGTTGGAAATAAAATATAAAAATTGTGATTTCCTCAGTGGAATGTTCTCCCTGACGAAGACGGCTACCGGTATACTCTTCAAGTTCAGCAACATCGACGATTTTCAGGCGGTCTATAAAAAGGGATTTCACAAAGTCACGGGGGCACGGTTCTACAAGAAGGTACTTATCTTTCGGTATACAAAGCGAACCCACTCTCTTCAGAATATCCCCCCCTCCTCTAAATACGACGTTTCGTATTCATGAACGCCAGGTCGCCATACCTTGCAGACCGGCTAAGACATTCACCGTCTACGTTCTGGACGTACCCGAAGAATTACCCGAAGAGGATATTAGGCACGCTCTCTACAAGTACCGGTCCATAGTCGAAGTGACGCGGCTACCTCTCAACACGGCCACCGTCCGTAAGTATTTATTTCTCGATACAGCGCGATGTTGACGTTGGCCGAGATGATGTTTTAAAAATTGATCAAATTGGCCGCGTCTCGTGCATTTATACGTAACATAATTATCGGTGAGTTTCATAATAAATTGCAATACCATCGTTCGATCATATTTATCCATTTTCGTGT